ACATCTTTCTTCCCAAATACTTAATTTGTCACTTTAAGCATTATTTTATGTTACAGCTTTTGTTCTTAGGTGGAGCTGTTAAAGTTAAATAAGTGTGAATATCTGTCAAATACAGTTCTTGCAAGAGTGCACGTACATTTTATATATTGCAAGAAAAGCATAATTAATAGCTAATTAGGATAATGAAAGTAATATACACCAGATGTAGCAAAGACCTTGTGGAAAATTAGTATGAATTAGGCAACATGTGATTTGGTCAAAGCAAGCTTGTTGAAAAGAATTAAAACAGTGGACATGTGGAGGGACGATCAGTGGCTGTCTAGCTCTTACACCTAGGGAATAATTTAATCAAGTTAGCTATTGTAATACTCAGAGCTTCAAGCTGTTCCATTTTCACAAGTTGATAACTTGGGATTTGGGTCTTGATTTGCAACATTCCTATATAGTCAAGGTTTCATGTTGGGATGTTCACTTATCAAGTAATCTAATAAAAGCATCTCTATAAAGGAATAGAAAAGTAGTGATTGGGAACTAGTGAAAAGGTCAGGTAGGGAGGAATCAATTTGGGTTGTAACACACTTGTGCATGGAAGCAATGCTAGGACTCTCTCTATAGCTTTCCTTATCTCAACTAGCAAAAATGCTTTATCTTTCTTATTATTGCTTATGTCTTCTCATAAGCAATTATTGCTTCCAGGTTCTGCCTGGAAGCGAGGCGGGGGCTGGGGGGACAGGCAGAGGGCAGGGGGCAGAAATGGCCCAATCAATGTATGCACATATGAATAAATGCATAAATTTTTTTTAAAAAGAAAAGTAATCAGAGATCTTGAATATTCTAATTTAGGCTCAAAATTTCCCAGATACCATCGAGTTAATGGAAATCTAATATTTGTTACATCATTTAATGTTCATTGGTTGGCAATCACCCAGATTTTCTTATTCTTTCTAAATGCCAGTATTTCTAATTTTAAGAAACTACAATTCATTAATTCATTATTTGCTTTACATAGCTATATTTGAAGCACTACATATGTAATAATTACAATATTTACATATATTCTGTCACTCTGTCATCACAATATATCATCATGTCATCATGAGTTACCTCATTTCCAATATTCCCTTTCTCAGATGAGGTAACTAAGCAGTAGATAGTTACTTACCCAAGATTACATAAATAAGTGATGGACCCAAGATTTGAACACTAGCACTCTACCTCTAGACCACTTGCTTCTAACCACTGTGTGATAATGTTTTAAATGAGAAGAAAACATTAATTCTTTTGTTTATATTTGGAGACATAGGATAATTGTAGTCTTTGATGTGACATATATAATCTTTTTTCACTTACTGACTTTTTTTTACTGTAGATATAAATAACACAACAATAATCTAAACAGTAGGTGTTTTTTACCCCTATCCACTAGGAATTATTGATTGATGAGCTTTCAAAACAACCTATTTTTACTTGCTTTTAGGCAGTGATGTTTCAGCCATATTCCAAATCCTGAAATGACAATAGATAGGTAGAAACCTGGTCCACAGTCTTACTCAATTATGAAGTCTGTCCATCATAGTGTCATGGGTGTTTCCTAAGGAAATCATCAAGCATAGATGTAAACCTCCAGTGTGGTTTGAGATAATATGTCTAGCCTGGCTGAGACACTTGAATTCCCTTCTTCCTCCTTACCCATCACTCCTCCCTCCCTCTTCCTCTTTCCTACTTTCTTCTCTCCCTCCCTCCCTCCCTCCCTTTCTGCCTCCCTTCTTTCCTTCCTTCCTTCATCGTTCTTTCTCTTTTTTTTGTGGCACTGGAGTTTGAAATTAAGGCCTCACACTTGTTAGGCAGGTGCTCTTACCACTTGAGCCACTCCATCTGATATAGAGTCTTATGAATTATTTGCCAAAGGGCTGGCCTCAAACCATGATCGTCCTGATCTCTGTGTCCTAAGTAGCTAAGATTACAGGTGTGGGCTTCTGGTGCCCAGCTTATACTTATTTCTTTCTGTCTTTTTTTGAGACTAAAAAACTTTATTAATAAAGCAAAGGAATGATAGATAGTACACAACCAAGACATAGGTGCAGGCACATAGAGTGCTTTAATATCAAGGGTGTTTTTGGTGAAAAAGGAGGATTTAAGTGTTTCCCTTTGTTCTTACTCTTGGTATTTAATAATTTTTGCTGTTACACTTTTATTAATTAGGCACAAGGATATCAAGATTGGTCCACTAATTAAATTTAGGTCATCATGACATAGATGTTTGAGCATCCCTTTAAATAAAGGATAGGGGTTCTGTTACAGACTCCCCTAAAGACAGTTGTTCATCCTTGTGATCAGTATTTTCCTTTGCATGCATGATTTGTGCCTAAGAGGAGTCAATTTCCCAGGAATGCCCCCATCACAGGATAAGTGTTTTTCTTTCAGATATTCTTGCTCGGTTCCTAAAGCACACTAATTATTTAGGCAAGTGGGCAAGGTCAGAGGGAGAGAGATGCTTATTTTCCTTTTAATTTTTTTATTTTCACCAAATGTTGCAGCTTATTTAAGGAGTGTAAGGCTTAAAGGAAAGAAGATAGTGTCTGTGTGCTTTTAATAAAGTTATTGTTTTTGTTAATACGGTGCTTATATATGAATTCCTGGCTTCTGTTTCCTATGCCTCGTTTTCCCTGATCTCTTCTGCCTCAGTTTCCCCTAAATGATTTCGGTCCTTTAATCTTAATGGAAGTTGATAAGTAGAGGTCAGTCTTCTAAAATTGCTTTGAGGTGGGATTGGACATTGGCCCTAATGAGGGACCAGAGTCATGTCCTGTCTGATCTAGGGAGTGACATAGGAAACTTCGTTGTCAGACTGCTAGGATCAGATGACACCAGGAGCACCACATGGCTCTTAACTGGAAAAGAAGCCATATGAACAATTAGGGAAGAGAATATTTTATAAAAATAACATAATGAAACACAAAGTAATATTTTCACATATATGAAAAATATATGGGCAAACATCTTTTCATTAAGAGGTTTTAAAGAACCATGAAGCTAACAAACCAGTAAGACTAAAGGCAAGATCTGACATTGTTTTCATTTGTGAATGTGTATCCTGGAATTCTATACATTTAACACCTTAGTAAGAAATAACTGTGAACATGGACTATTAAATACCTTTCAAATCAGTGGAGATAGCTGTTTTCTATTTAAGTAGAAACCTGTTGTTAAAGGTTTGAGTTTACCTTTAGTGTAGAGGTGACTGGAAGAAGAGCTAATCTTTAGGGTTAGATAACCATATTTTAAACCCTTTATCACCTCTTGGCTGTAGTTACTTTGGGAAGGATTGGCACAAGTGATTCCATTTTGATTTTTTTCTATATTGGTCAAGAATGACACTATTGAATCTATTCTTTAAAATTATTACCTGTAAATTGAAATGGGCATATGAAAACAAAGGCAAACTGAGCTATAGATTTAAATTGTTAGTTAGAAAGACATCAATATCTGTGACCAGTTCTTTAAATTATCCTCTGAATATACCAAGAAAAATGAAAACTACCTAGATTTTCTACACTAGTTCCTCTGTTTGTGGACTGTGTTTGCTGATTCTGAAGGGCCCTCTTGAATCCTAAGATTATTTCTGCCTTTAAGTTTTGTTGTGTTTAGGATATTTGTTCTAGAGGTTTGTCATTAAAATGTTTTATTTCACATAATTTGTCAATTGAACTGTTATAAATCTTCATGTATATCTTTATTAGTGGAATCTTATTAGCCTACCCTCTTAGATAAGGAGAAAAATAAGTCTACTTTGTTCAATACACTTTGAAAATTGCATTTCTAACTAGAAAGTCTTAGACGAGTTTTTACATCTTACCTAACTTCTGTATATTTGTTTTGGATTTCAAAATAGTTTTACTTTTAGTGAATTGTTTATTTAATGGAATCCTGAATGCTTTTAAAATTATTTTCTAGTTGATTATTTCCCTGTCTGTGAAAATGTACTTTAGGAAATAATTTAGATGCTATTATGGTTTATTTGTTTTCAATGTAGAATAATCAAATAAAAAGATAACAAAATCATTTTAAGCTCACGTTAAATGTTTTTACAAAAGAAAAAAATGCCTGCCTGCATAAAAAAAGAGGAAGACAAAAGAATTGACAATAAGTTGTAATAAATTCAAGAGCTATTTCTTTGGGAGCAGAATAACAAATTTTAAGACTCAATTAAAAAATACTTTTTGACTATTATCAATAAGAATAGGAACAAGAAGTACTATGTTGAAGTGAGTAAGATAGTAAACTTAAATGAATGTCATACAAAGCAGAATGAATTCTGAATGGAATATAGTTTTAAGTAATCGATAAATAAATCCAAGGGCTCTTTGTGAATTATAACTCTTTGTGAAAGACTAACAATAAGAAAAATCAATATACTGACTAGGATATAAAATTGAGTATACAAAGCTAATAACTATCATACATATACCAGTCATAATTGGTAAGAAAATAATAATGGGAAAAGGTCCATAATGAACAACAGAAAAAGAATGTTTCCTAAGAAGTATGGAGTTAAATGAATCAAATTGAACCCAAATGCTACTGAAAGGCATAAAAAAGAAAACTGATTAAATTGAAAGTGATTTCATTTTTCTTTGAATTTACTATTTGGCAGTATTAAATAGAATAAAATGTTGATTCTGGCTCTGAAATCATTGACAAAGAGTTTGTAAATGGAAAATGTTTATATATACAATACCAAGTTACAAAAAATGCATGGAAAGGAATATGCCCAAATGCAAACCTTTGCAACTATTATTGGATGTTATAGTTTTTCATTTTATACTCTTTGTAATGCAAAAAATACACATTCAGATATGTTTTAACAATTTAGATAAAAGATGAGGGTTTGCTGTGTCTTCTTATGTTATATCTGGCCTTATGCAAGAAAGGCGTTTATGTATCTTTTTCTTTTCATGTTTATTTTTGTTATTAATTTATACTGTTTTCAATATCCTTAGAAAGACGTTCGGGATATTCTCACCCCAATTCAGATAGAGGCCGCTTATCGCCTAGGACATCATGTCATCAACAAGCGAAGTACAGAGGAATTCCCACCACTTCAGCCAATTCTTCAGCAGAAGAAAGAAAAAGACATGATTAAAAAAATGGTAGGAATATTTTCTCTCTTTCAAACATTATGCTACATAATTAAAAAATTTTTAAATGTGGCATAATTGTGAAGAAATGAAGAGTCTGAATTCTTTAAAAATTTTTATGGATTTTTTAATATAAATATATTTATGGCATATCTTGTTTTCCATGTTTCTTTAATTTTTTTGTATTCAACTGAGTATTTTTAAATATGTATTTAGCCCCAGAATTTTCCATTTATATAAAATGTTAATTTTCTCTCCTCAATAAAAGAGTTGACAATAAATTGTAATAAATTCAAGAGCTATGTCTTTGAGAAAAATAAATTACCTTGCCGGTGAAGAAGTATATTACTAGAGAGACCCATGATGGAAGTACACCACCTTGTGAATTAGTCATTCAGTGTCACCACTGATGAGGAAGATAAGCATGAGCTGCTTATCTTCCTCCATCTTATTTCCTGTCTCACTTTCTCTCATCGTGTCTCACTCTCTCTACCTGTGGATTCACTCAGTCTTCTTAGTCCAATTTTCTTGCTCAGTTTTATTCATTTATAAACATAAATATTTATATTACAGAAGAATATCTTTTTAAAATTTCAGAGTATGCTTTTTAGCCACCACTCAAGAAATAATTGCATTTTATGACAGATTCTTAGTTAGTGAATTCCTTTTTTTTTTTCTAAATTGTCCCAAAATGTTTCACTTTCATTGACAATGCATTTATTCTCAGGCATCCCACCATTCAGACCTTTACCATCCAACAACACAAAGACAGAATCAACAGGTCAAAAGGACTCATTAAAACATTTCCCATGGCACATGGGGTATAAAAGATGAAAGGGAAGTGCTAATATCTGGTTCATATCCTGCCTGGGTGAAATTGCCCTGAATTATTTTAGGATATTTGAGCTTGTAATCACCACTGTCTAGTCTAAAATACTAGGTCAAATGAACATAATAACTTATCAAACTTTCTCTATACTTCTTTGAAAATCCTTTGAGAGTCAGTTTCTTTACTCTTCTATTGAATGTCAGTTTTCAGTATCAACTAATTTTGAATGTCATTATAATGAAAATAATTAACATTGCAAGCACAGAAGCCAGGACATTAGTAAAGTGTAGTTCTATCAATCTACATTTTGATTTTAGAACAACTTGCTTTTCAAGTAGGAGTGGCAGAAAAACAATCATATTTAGTAGGGCTAAATTTAGAGAAAGACTTATACTTCTACTCCTCCAGCAAAGACACTATGTGGTCTGGCATGTCATTTGATATCACTCTAGTCACTTCCCACTTTGGTTGCCTAGCTCCTTCTCTAACTTTCTAGATTTCTCCTTATCTGCATCTCTCTCTTAACCTGCATTTCTCTCTTTCCTGTCATTTTCCTTTAATTTCCCCTATTTTTCTTTTGTACAGTTTGTCCCTTAGGGCTTCCTATGTACTTTGTCATATTCATGGGCCCTATTGAAATGTTTAGAATTAATGAATTATGGAATCCTTATGTTAGATTACCATTGATTTTGCTCAATGTATCCTCAAAGTAAAATCACTATCCAGCCATGAACTGACGTTAAGTGCCCTGCTCATATGTAATAAAAGGGTAGCAGAAAATGGAAAGGAAGTTGATGAGAACATCTTGGCAGCTAATATTCTCCAGAATCTGTATAGTCCCTTTAATTTAACTTTTCTCAAAATTTATTTCACTTAACAAATTTAGGTTTTAAACTGACCTGTTGGAGAGACCAAGTTTCTTTAGCCCTACAATTATGTCATTAAACTTATTAATTCTCAAGTTGAACTCAAGGAGGAATAATAAATTATCAGTTTGATGTATTTTATTTTCCATGTCTTACATATGCTTTATTCTTTAAAATAATAGAAATATATCTACTGATTGAACTAACATAAAAATATTGCAATATTCTGTTTCCAGATAAACTTTGCAAGATATTGTGCCCATGAAAATTGTTCTGCTGATCTACAGGTTTCTGCAAAAATTGGATATATGAGGTAAGTATGGTCTACACTGTGTTTGTCATCAACAGACTGTGGTGGGTGAGTGCCTGCAGGTTCCAAAGAGAAAGAGTCTAACCCTTTGGAGTTATCATTTAAAGGACCATAAAACAACAGTGTTCTACTGAGAGACTAACTGATATGTATGGTATTCATAATAAGTATATGTTCAAAGGTTACCATTTTCAAAGAGTAAGAATTATGAGCACTAAGTTTTATGAAGCATGTTTTAATATTTTATCAATAACTTGCAAGATATTTCAGGATTTAATTATGCCCTTGGGATGTCATCTTCATAGTTATGGTTATGTTTTGACATTTGTAAGTACCTGCTAATAGAGTTTGGGTGGCAAAGCTATGCAATGGTTGGTTATTTTTATCACTGGAAAACTGGTTAAACTATTGAACTTAATATGCAAAACAACACATGATGACAATTTGGAAAAGAAATAAACTAATTTTCTCTTCTCAATTCATAGTAGGGGAAACAGAAAGAAACTATACATAATGTACTTAGAATATCATCTGGCATGTAGTGAGAATGAGATAGATACTGATTGCTAGTGTTTGTGATGGAAGATAAACAATTGTAATGCTGTACCATGTCTAGATTCCCCTCTACCAAATTGCCTTGCACATCAGAGGAAGAGAGAGAGAGAGAGAGAGAGAGAGAGAGAGAGAGAGAGAGAGAGAGAGAGAGAACTTACTGCAGGTTGAGGTTGAGGGTTGAGGGTTGATTGTACCTGGGGTGGGGAGGTGGTAGGTAGCAGCGTCAGGCAGGAAGATGAGATGCTGTTTCTAGGAGGTTAGAATGTAAATAAAGCCAAGTTGGTTTGGGACATATTGAATGTGATGGGACTTATGTATATAGTGCTCCAATTAAAAATCTGTATTAGGATTATATTTGAAATTTCCTCTACATTAGTGACTTGTGAGATTGCCTAGGAGTGAAAATGTGAGTTTTACAGAAGAACTGCAGAGCATATCTGGGAACAAGTGTGGAATTTTATTTGAAGAGCTTGAAAAGAATAGATACCCATAGAAGACAGGAATCTTCAGAGAACTTCTAAGTCCATGATGAAATAACCCAATGAAGAATGCTAGAGTTAATCTGCCCATTTTGTAGTGATCAAATGGCATAATGACTAAGGAAGGGGATGGGAGTTGCTGTCTAAAAGGTGGGGTTAAAAGAGTGCCACTGTAAATTTCAAATTTCACTCTCAGTGTAGTAGTAGTAGTCAAATGACATGGTTAGTGACTAAGGAAATGAGATAATACTGGGAACAAGTAGGTTCAACTGAAGCATTTGTCACATCTTATGTATTTAATCATGGAAGGACCTAAGCATGAGAGTAATAAGACAGGGAAAGTATAAATTGGAGAGGGCAACCTTCAACTAAAATTCCAGGGGACACTGTTCAGTTTCTGCTTGAACAACCCTCTGAAGCATTTGACAGTTCTTAACTTCCTCTTTTAAATCTTTTTTCATTTAATCTCTGTGAGACATTCCACTCGCAGTCTCCTTCTTTAGCTTTTTTTCTCAATTGTCTTTGGAGGATGTTTGGCTCTGGCTCCCTGAATGGTCTCACTCATCTCTTTCACTCACTATTATATTTTCTTTGAATAACCTTGTCTCCATCTCTGTCCTAACCTGGCCTTCCCACACTGCTGATGCCAAAACCAGTGTATCAAAGGTTCACATCCACACATCCAGTTGTCGGCTAGGCAAGTCCTTTTAGGTAACTCATAGATTCAATCTATTTAGTCATTGTCCAGGAATGATGTCACTATTACTTAGATGCCAAGCCAGAATCCTGAATTCTTTTCTTGTTTTATCCTTGATATCCAATCAATTAAGATTAACAATACTGTCTCCAAATGTATTGTTGACCATTTTAAGACATGTTTTAAGATAATTTTTAAAAATTACAGTAAATCTAATAAAAAATTACCTGCCATTTTCACAAAATGAGGAAGTGGTAGCCTAAAATTAATTGAATGGAGAATGGACTCTATCTGGTTCCACATACAAGGGAGATGCCATTGAGAATTATACACAAGGTGCTTGTAACCTTTGAGTGCAATATTCTTTTTTTTTTCAATTCTTTTTACCATACTGGGGGTACATTGGGACATTTACAAAAACCCTACAATATATCATAGTTGAATTCACCCCCTCCACTGATCTCTTTTATTCTCCCTCCTTCCCCATTCCTGGAATAGTTTCAACAGGTTTCATTTTTCCATTTATATACATGTGTACATATTTCTACCATATTCATTCTCCTACACCCTTCCTTACATCCTCCTTCCTTTCACTGGTACCAACCCCCCAGACAGGACCTGTTTTGCCTTCCTGTTCTGTTTTTGAAAAAAAGACATTTTTGTTTAAGATAGTTATGCAGGGTATTTAATTGTGATATTTTCATGTATCTGTATATATATATATATATATATATATATATACACACACACACACATATATATTTGTATATAATTTATAACCCAAATTGGTTCATCTTCTCTATCTCCTTTCTTCCTTAGTCCCCTTCTTATGGTGACTTCAACAGTTTAAAAATTCTATATTCATTCTTGTATAGGAAGTACTTCAACTATATTCACCTTCTTAACTTCCTCTTTTATCCTCCCTCTCTCATATGTGGCCTCCCCTTAGTGTGACCTGTTTTTCATAATATTGCTTGTATTTGCATTTGTTCTTATATTCTACATATGAGAAAAAACATGTGGCCTTTGGCTTTCTGAACCTGACTAACTTCACTTAAGATGATGTTCTCCAATTCCATACATTTACCTGCAAATGACAAAATTTCATTCTTTATGGTTGAATAAAATTCAGTCATATACAAATACCACATTTTCTTGATCCATTCATCAAAGTGGAACATCTTGGCTGTTTCCATAGCTTAGCTATTGTGAATAATGATGCAATAAACATGGATGTACAAGTATCTTTATTGTAACCTGACTTACATACAAATATATTTCTTATTCATCTTCTCAATCTCTACCACTGTTGTTCCAAACCAGGCACTTGATGTCCTACCTGGATCACTGAGTTATTTCACTGGGCTCCTGGCATTAATATTCTAAATCCTTTATCATTATGTTTCCAGAGTGAGCTGTGTAACATGAACAGCTAATAACAGTGCTTTAGTGGCTCATTTTTTACATAAAATTTAAACTCCTCAGTGCTGATTTGTTTTTTTTATCATTTCCCCGGAGCTATTTTGCATCAATGGAAGAATACTTACAGTTGTTTGGCAGTGCCCTGTACTCCTGAGCCTGTGAATCTTTTCACCTCTTCATAGCTTCATGTTTCCTTGTGGAAGCCCCCTTGTCTCCAGCTTCTTACACCTAAGTCCTGCTTAGCCTGGCTCCATTGCCCTGTGCACACCATTAATAAGTGTCTTTCTCCACATTGTCCAGGAAGCTGCTGCAAGACAGGTTCCCATCTTTTCATCTTTGTGTTTCCAGTGCCTAACAGAGTGACTGGAGTGCTGTAGGTGACAAATGGAGGTTTGCTGAGTTTGAAACAGGGGTCCCAAAGGAGATAGCATATAATGGGGGTCAGACCCACAAAAGGAAGAGTTAGTCTTAGAAAGAAGCTAAGATTCTCCTTATCTTGATCTAAGAGACTGTGAAAAGATGCTTCACATTAAGAAACTGCAATGTGGAAGGAAGGAAAATACAGAGAATTCATGGATGGTTGATGTAAAAAAGCCAGTTCAGTATGGTAATTGGAGGTTTTGAGAATGCATTTGGGAACAAAAGAATGGCAGAAGATTCAAAATTGTTATGATATACGGGTCAAGAAATCAACTAGGAGTGAGCAGAAAGGTTGACATATGTTGAGTGCCTTTCTGGGATGGGATCTTAGATAGCAGAGAATAAATGAATCTTTTTCACTTCAGCAATGCCAGTGTAGCCAGTGTGTCTACAGTTGAGGGGCAAGAAACCTTTACCTATTTTGGTTGACAATTGACTTTATACTTACATTTTCCAGATTGACAACTCAGATAATCCAGTCAGTGACAAATAAATACATTGTCTACAAGCATCTAGTGTTGTACATTTGCTGATATATGAGTTATGTAAAAATTTCCCTTTTATATATTTTCTTTCTAAAATGTATAGTTTCTTGGTGTATTTGCCATCATGGGGCCTTTGATAAGAGGAGTCATGTGGAGGAAACTTTTCCAAGCCACAAATAGGCAGCTTTTCATTTGCCTGCACCACACATTCCTGCTACCTTGCCTGCCATTTTTTTCATTGCAAGTGCTCTGGCCTGGAGAAAAGAAAATTAGACATTGAAATTTATGTGAAAATATTACTAAGAATGCTTGCATCTTATTCAGTTGAGATATGGAATTATTAATTTGATTGAAGTCTTTGGTTTTCTCTGATAGGTATTTTCTCATAGAATTTACTTTGCATTTTAAATTTGAAATAATAATATTTCTCATGGGTTGGGAGTCAAGCTCTGTTGATTTTAAAAGGTGACCAACAGAGTATAAGGCAGATCCCCTTCATGGGAGCACCTGGAATACCTGATAGAAATGCAGGTCTCGAGAACCCAAACCTTCTAAAGCAGAGTTAGTGTGAATAGTAACAGAAAGGCACACTATTAACAAGGTTCCAAGTTCTTCTCACACTAAATCCAGAGAACCAATGTGGTGGTGAAGGGTTTCAGATGTGAAATCAAACCAACTTGGCTCGTGTGTTCTATCCACCATTTTGCCAGTTGGATTGCCTTTTAAGAGGCGCCTTAGCCTATTTCTTCATGTTAAGTAGGTAAAAACTGCCTGTTTTATAGGATTGTTTTGAAGATAAAATGCAATAAAGCAGCCCATGCTTATCGTGTGAAAGTTCATTAAAAGATGTTACCAGTTTTGATAAGGTAATCATCCCTTACATCCTTAATTTCACTTTCTGGGGTTTCAGTTACCCGTGGTCAAAAAATAAACAATTATATATTT